TCACTCTTAGAGCCAGACATCCTGGAATGTGAAGTCAAGTGGTCCTTAGGAAGCATCACTACGAACAAAGCAAGTGAAGGTGATGGAATTCCAGTTGAGCTATTTCAAATCGTAAAAGATGACACTGTGAAAGTGCTACACTCAATATGCCAGCAAACTTGGAAAGCTCAGCAGTGACCATGGGACTGGTAAAGGTCAGTTTTCACCCCGATCCCAAAGAAAAGCAATGCTAAAGAATGGCAATGCCAAAGGATGCTCAAACTACCACATGCTAGCAAAATAATGCTCAAAATTCTCCAAGCCAGGCTTCAACAATACAGGAACCATGAACTTCCAAATGTTCAAGCTGGATTTAGAAAAGGCAGAGGAACCAGAGATCAAGTTGCCAACATCCACAGGATCATTGAAAAAGTATGACAGTTCCAGAAGAACATCTATTTCTGCTTTATTGACTACCTCAAAGCCTTTGACTGTGTGGGTCACAACAAACTGTGGAAAATTCTTCAAGAGATGGGAACACCAGACCACCTGAGCTGCCTCCTGAGAAATCTGTATTGGTCAAGAAGCAACAGTTAGAACTGGACGTGGAACAACAGACTGGTTCCAAATAGGGAAAGGAGTATGTCAAGGCTGTATATTGTCACCCTGCTTATTTAACTTATATGCAGAGTACATCATGAGAAATGCTGGGCTGGATTAAGCACAAGCTGGAATCAAGATTGTTGGGAGAAATATCAATAACCTCAGATAGGCAGATGACACCACCCTTATGGCAGAAAGTGAAGAACTAAAGATCCTGTTGATGAAAGTGAAAGAGGAAAGTGAAAAAGTTGGCTTAAAGCTCAACATTCAGAAAACTAAGATCATGGCATCTGGTCCCATCACTTCATGGCAAATAGATGGGGAAACAGTGACAGACTTTATCTCGGGGGGCTCAAAATCAGTGCAGATGGTGATTGCAGCCATGAAATTAAAAGATGCTTGTTCCTTGGAAGAAAAACTATAACCAACCTAGACAGCAAGTTAAAAAGCAGAGACATTACTTTGCCAGCAAAGGTTTATCTAGTCAAAGCTATGGTTTTTCCAGTGGTCATGTATGGATGTGAGATTGGACTATAAAGAAAGCTGAGCCCTGATGCTTTTGAAGTGTGGTGTTGGAGAAGACTCTTGAGAGTCCCTTGGACTGCAAGAAGATCCAACCAGTCCATCATAAAGGAAATCAGTCTTGAATGTTCATTGGAAAGGCTGATGCTGAAGCTAAATCTCCAACACTTTGGCCACCTGATCCGAAGAACTGACTCATTGGAAAAGACCCTGATGCTGGGAAAGATTGAGGGCAGGAGGAGAAGGGGACGACAGAGGATGAGATGGTTGGATGGCCTCACCAACTCTAAGGACATGAGTTTGAGTAAGCTCCGGGAGTTGGTTATGGACAGGGAGACCTGGAATGCTGCAGTCCATGGGGTCACAGTCAGACACGACTGAGCAACTGAACTGACTAAACTGAAGTGAAAGTGAAAAATTATTTTATGAAATCCTTGGATACTTTCAAAAAAGATGTGTCTTGTAAGTTGGACTTGAAGAGGGCAAAGGTTTCCACAGGCAGAGAATATGAATTAGTTAATTCTAGACTGAAAAAGGTAAGAGCAACGTTCTGAACTGAGCAGAAGAGCTAAGTTCCCTTCTTTCAGCCTCCCGGGACTGCTTAGAGTCTGCCCCATGCATATGTGTTTCAGAGGTCAGCCAGAGAATTAGGCAGAGTTTACATACAAATGGGCTTCCCACGTGGCCATAGTGGTAAAGAAACCACCTGCCAGTGAAGGAGACAAAAGAGGCAGAGTTTCAATCCCTGGGTAGGAAAAATTCCCTGGAGGAGGTCATAGCAACACACTCCGGTATTCTTGCCTGGAGAATCCCATGGGCAAATGGAGCCTGGCATGCTACAGCCCATGGGGTCGCAAAGAGTTCACAATGACTGAAGACTTGACATGCATGCGTGCAAATCCACATAATAGGGCTCTCTCTCCCAGGCCCTTTTCTTCCAGGATTTCCCCTCATTTTTAGTGCTAATAAAGAGGATTTTAGGTTGCCTCCTCCAAAATTCCTGCCCCCTGGTATACATGCCAGAAATAACTCCCTTCATTTGAGTGTGGGCAGAATCTATGCATATGATGAGCAATTAAGCACATAATTATGTTTTCTAATATGGCAAAACAAAGATTATTCTGTGTAGGTGTGACCTACTCAAATGACCCCTTTAAAAGCAAAGGATTTTTCTTCAGTTGGTTACAGGAGGCGAAGTTTAGAGACACATGTCCTTACTGGCCAGAAGGAAAGCAAATGGATATGTTGTGAACTGCTTATAGGGGCTGTGTGGCAGGGAGCTGTGGGCATCCTCTGGAAGCTGACAGTCACCCCTGAACAACAGTTGGCAAGAAAATAAGGACCTGAGTCATACAACCACAAGGAAATGAGTTCTTCGAGTACCAGCAAGCTGGGAAGAGACTCAGATGATATTCATGTAGTGCACTGATGCCATAATTTTAATCTGTTGAGGCCCCAAGCAAACGACCCAGTTAACCTGTACTAAACTCTGACCCACAGAAACTGTGAGCTAATAAATTGGCATTATTTTGAACCATGGCATTTTTGATAATTTGTTATACAACCTTATGTGTGCTCAGTTGTTTCCAACTCTTTGCAACCCCATGGACTGGAACCTGCCAGGCTCCTTTGTCAATGGGATTTTTCAGGCAAGAATACTGGAGGGTGTTGCCCTTGCCTACTCCAGGGGATCTTCCCAACCCAGGGATCAAACTTTCATCTCCTGTGTCTTCTGCATTGGCAGGCAGATTCTTTACCACTGAGCTACCTGTGAAGTGATGCAAAAAATAGAAGGAAGAATTATCTTTAGAGCAATGTCCTTGAGTAGATTAGCAGGGATAAAATCTAGCACACAGTGAAGGAACTGCCCTCAGATAGAATCTGGCAAAGTTCATCTATAGAAAAGGAAGTGAAGGCAGATTATGTGAGTTTAGACATAGGTATGTGGTTGAAATAGTAGTAGGAGCTATAGGTTTGAGGAAAGAGGAGAAGGTGCAAAATAGCCACCTAGAGTGTGAACAAGAATGAGCTCGGAATATAAAATAGGCTCTCTGAGCAGTACTAAGGGTCCACTTCAGATTAGAGGGTCATAATTTTGAAATAAGACCTGTCAGGATGATTTAATCAAGACTAGGATTTTTCCAATTGTGTACAATCACACAATAGGGCAAGGGAGTTGAGGCTGTGTGGAGAAGAGTGGTTATGATTGTCAATGAAATCCAAGCTAAACCAGGGAGGAAATGCAGTGACCTTGTGATGGTGAAAAGACGGTAACAAGAACAGAAAGTAGGGAAACAGATTAGATGATAGATAGAAGATAGAGCAATATTAACAAGAATAAGGCTTTTAAGGCTGAGTAATACACACACATACACTATATATATATATATACACACATATATATGTATATACACATGGGTGTTGGTTTATTGCACTGTTTTCTTCTGCTTTAGGGTATATTCAAAAATCATCACAATAAAAAGCAGGGTTTTCTTAAGTGTTGAGGTGGTTTATGTGGTCAAAGTTTGCTGGAGTCAGGGTTCTGGAAGAAATGAGCTAGATAGGAAGGAGACAAAGCCCTGAGAGTGATCTGATGGAAAGTGTGAGGTGGAATAGCTCGAAGAAGTTGCAAGCATTGCTAGTAATAGAGTCTAGGGTATGAATGATCAGCGAGCTAATTAACTAAAGGAAGGTAGAGGGTAAGATCATCGCAGAAGAGGAGACAAAGGAACCAGGAAGTCAGGGGTCACCTTTGTGATTATCTGCTTGGATAATAAAAACACTGAGAGTCATGATATAGAGCTTGACAGTGAGCCAGATGCAAAATCTTTGAACAAACGAGAGTAGCTCTGTGGAAAAGCTTGATAAACTGGTGGCTTTTCGAGGAGAAACCATTTGGAATTTGCAAAGTCAGTGAGAAAGACACAGACCGTAGCTTACCCCACTAGCACCCACACACTCCTGGAGGTACAGGAACGTGTAAGAGAAAGCAGCTTCCTCTTGGAGAGCTCCGGGGGAGGCAGTGTCCTCAGGGGAGGGCTAGATATTAAGGGAGAAATTGTTCTACTAAGAATCTAAATTAGTTGGTTACAGCACCTGAATGTTAAACTGGGCTATCCACCTCCTGGCAGTGAAAGTTTCATAAAGGGAGAAATGATAGGTTATGTAGTCCTTAGGACCTGACAAAAGGAGGCATATAATTTCTTCAAAAGAGCCCAATGTTTTCTAAAATCCCAAGAATTTTTTCCCCAGATCTATACTTGCTTATATATCCCTAGCAACTAGAACAAAGCTTACAATATAATCAGAATACAAGAACTGTTTATTTAACCAAACTCATCTGACAGGAAGATTCATAGTAGACAATACCTTTAATGACAGTTTTTGAAGATAAAAAGCTTATCTTAACCTCTAAAGTAGGGCATAGTCTTGGGGTTGCTATTGATCATAGTCTTGATTCTGAGATGCTATTTTCAAAAGTGAACCTCAGCATAAAATTAGCTGTAACAGTCCTTTCCTTACAGATACATTGTACAGTGTATTATAAGGCACAGAGATAGTTAATAATTTTTAGTATTCACTTTTATTCTTTCATTTTGAAGAGGAAAACCTGCCATTTAAAAGCATGCAAAGCTAATTAAAGCTTTTCCACTATTTCATTATCTGAATGTTGTTGCAAATTCTGACTTAAAACTCTTATCAGAGGGAGACTCAACATTCCTCCCTGAACAGCAAATGAACATTCAATTAACACTTCAATACAAGTGTATTTTAAATAAAAATATACTTGATGGTTAATCTCATTCTTTATACATGCAAATACTAAATTTTAAAATCCAAGGAGAGCTGCCTCCCTTTTATTCTTTGGAGGAAAAAAGTCTTTTCTTTATTTACAGGGAAGACCTGAATTTTCTGAAGTTGTTAGCAAGTTAGAAGAGTGTCTCTGCAACATCGAGGTAAGAAATTTACCTTCTGAAATACGTCCATTAAAAAGGCTTGGATACACAGAGTTCTTGGGGGATGGATGTTGCTGGTACTTACAGAAAGAATATAAGTGTGAGTGTCCATAACTCCATTCATATTCTTACCCTGTCACTTAAGTTGTAATAACTGCATCTATAGGGACAAAGGCAAATTCAGAGTGAATTTGGGCTCTTCCAACAAATGCTCAGGCAAGCAAATGCACATGGATATGCATAATTTTAAAAACTGATAAGTAAAAAGTTTAAAATATAACAAATATGTTAGAAGATGATTTTATCAATTTTTGTATATAAACATTCTTACATACAATGAAATGTAAGCTAAAACATTAAGCCATTGTCCATTTATGTTCAGTGAGAACAGAAAATAATTGTTACTAAAATTAGCACGTAAGTTAATCGGGAGGCATTGCTTGTGTTCCACACATATGTTGCATAAAGTGATATGTGTTGGTAATGAGGCTAATGGAATTTTCTTTCCTTAATATTAAGGAGCTGTTTGCTTTAATTTTCTCTATAATTGCCTTAATCTTCTATACACCTGTTCAGGAGATAGCATTTGAAAATAGGCAAGGGAACTGGAACATAAGCACTAATTCAAAAATAATAATATATTCACCAATGCAGGTAAGTGCTACAAGAGAGGAAGATGGACATTACACATACAGGCACATGTATAAATGAGTGTATGAAGGGAAGGGGCAAAAATGGAGAAAGACAGCATCAACCTGAGATTGCACAACTAAATCCCAAAGTGAAACCATCCAACAAAAGTTTTCTTTTTTAAAAATTTTAGCCAAGAGTGATCAGAATGCAATCTTTTGTAGAAGTGTCTCAGGTCTACAATTACAGCCTGCAGGGAGTGGTTCTATCTCATGACTCTTCACTGGGATTTATAAAGAAGTTTTTCCTATGGAATGAAACTTTGGTCTTAGACATAAAGCTTCCTTTGCCTTCTCTTCAGTTCTAAAACATACAAAGTAGAAAGAAGTAAAGGTATATTTGGTAGGGCTACAGTAGCCCCTACAAACAAGAGCATCTACCAGAGACCTGGGATGTTGAGAAGCACTTTTAAAGCTTGAGTTTCAAGTATCCTCTCACTTTGAACCTTTGTATTTGACAGAGCAAGGTTGTGCCAAGCATGGGATATATCCAGTTAGATTAGAGAGTGAATTCCAGAAACAGAGATAATGGTAGGATCTATTAAACTGACCAAGCCTCTTAGTACAGTCTCCCTTAGTAGAAAAGATGAGTAACTATGGGCTATATGCAAAGAGAAGTTGCTGGAGTGGGTTGCACTAATTAATGGACTAGGATCATCTTTAAGGGATTTAACTTGTGGAGTTCCATAAGGGTCCATTCTCTCTACTCTTCAACTTTTTGGTCAGTGGTTTAGATCTTGGTCAAGAAGTCTCTCTGCTCATCACAGTTGCAGATATAATAACGTTGAGACAGAACAAATATTTGAAAGCGGGATTCTAGAGTATTTTGGAAGATAAAGTAGTAGGACATGTCTAACAAGAATAAGTTTAGCAGGAATAAATATATCATCATGCACTAGAGTCAAGGAAACAACAGTAGAAGAATCAAACAATGGAGATAATGGTTTTGGAGCACCATGAAGATTAGTGGATAATAAACCTTGGGGGAGTTAGAATATGAAATATCTCTCTTGCATCAGAATGAAGAATGTGATCGTTCCTCTCTCTTCGGAGATGGCCAAACAAAATAGTACCCAACATATATCCTTATAATGGAGGAGGAAATGGCAACCCACTCCAGCATTCTTGCTGGGATAATGCCATGGACAGAGGAGCCTGGCATGCTACAGTCCATGGCATCACAAAGAGTTAGACATAGCTGAGTCACTGAGCACATATTCTTATAAAGGGATTATTAAAACTGGAACACAAATTTTAAGGAATAGAAATCAGAATGGTCAATGGATTGACAACCAATTAGAGGAACCAAGGATGCTTATCCTGGAGAAGGCAAAATTAGGATGAGTCAACAGCTGTTTATAAACATCTGAAGAGCTACCATATGGGAAAGGGACTGGCATGGTTGGTTCTCTGTGGACCAACGGATGGAAATGGAGTCCAGTAATAGATATGGTTAATTATGAGGAAGAAACTTTCCAATGGTCAGAGCCATCCTAAGATAAATGAATGGATCTGGATACAATAGGTAAGGATGAAAAGGATGAGATTGAATCATTGGAAAGTCTGAAGGTTCATTTCAACATTGCATGGTTCTTTACTTAGAAATGTCTTGTCTACTTGAAGAGCCTAAAGTTTACCTATATTATTTTTTAAATAAAAATCTGTCTCATGAAATTATTATATCAAAGAATTAATGTTCTTCTCTGATAGCTCTGTTGGTAAAGAATCTGCCTGCAGTATAGGAGACCTGGGTTCAATCCCTAGATCAGGAAGATCCCCTAAAGAAGGAAATGGCAACCCATTCCTGTATTCTTGCCTGGAAAATCTCATGGACCGAGGAGCCTGGTGGGCTACAGTCCAGGAGGTCACAAGAATTGGACATGACTTAGCAACTAAACCACAACCACAGAGTGCATAAACAGCAAGTTTATAAAAAATTCAAGAAAACTATCCTCTTATTTTTTGTTATTTCTTTCTCATTTTATTCCCTCACACTCTTCTATTTTCTAACTGTACTTAGCTATGTGTAATTATTTTTTAAAACTCTCTACAGCAACTCTATTTAGTCCTCATCCTTGCTGGACATTAAAGCATCCTTCCTTTTATGAAATGGATGTACCTTGGAAAAGTGGGTAAATTCAGTTCTTGTAAAGGGAATAATTTCATGTAAAAAGGGAATAATCATAAGTTCCAATTTTAAGGAACTCTGCCATGAATCTTATCACTATAGTGAAATATGTAGAGAATCTTTTAACCATTAAATAATAATCTTCTATCTGTTTTATGAATCTGACTTGAGCCTACTGTATTTTGAGAAAGAAAAGCATAAGTTTTATGGGTCAGTTCTCAGCATATAACTGGGTCAAAAAAAGTAAATTAAGCCAAGTGTTGCCATCAGAGGCTGAAAGGAAAGGCCTGAAGCAAGCTGAGCTGAATAGAAATTAAAATATGAGAAATCCTAGAATAGAAAGTTAAAATAAGTCTACATTTTATAATACTATGCCTTTAAGCCTGTTGGATTTATTAAATGATTGAAATGGCCCCTCCTTCATTCAGCTGATGTCTCCTGCTTCAAGTAACAGCAGCGGGTCTCTCTCACCTTCCTCTTCTTCTGATTGTCTGGTGAACCGCGGAGGGCCTGGCCGGAGCCATGTGGCAGCTTTACGAAGTCGTTTTGAACTGGAATATGCTCTAAATGCAAGGTCCTGTGCTGCCTGGTTGCAAAGGTAAGTGGTAATCTAAGCAACAGTTAAACAGTCAAGTCAGATTCCAGGGTCTTCCCAACATAGTCACCTGACTTGATTAATATCTGCAAGGGATTTACCACCCCTGTGGCAGACTTCAAAAGGGGAATTTTGCACCTGTTTTCTTCTAGTATTTTGACCAAAATGTAGAAATTTTGTTGTCCTTTAGTTTAGGTTCTCTAAGCTTCAAGTTAACCATTGCCGAAGCAAGAATTGTCTAGCTACAGCAGCAAAAGGAATGTGTTGAAAGTATTCTGAGAGTTTCTTATGGAATTCAAGGAAGAATTTCTGTGTAGAAATCAAGAAATAGCTCTGAAAATCTGACCACCAAAATTTCAGTGTTCTGAGAATTACCATATGACCCAGCAATTAGACCCTTAGATATATTCCCAAAAGAATTGAAAACAAATACTCAAATACCTGTACTCAAATGTTTATAGCAGCACTATTCGCAATAGCCAAAAGGTGGGGGCAAAACACACACACACACAAATATCCTTCGACAGAAGAACAGATTAAAAAAGTGGTATCAACACATGAAAAGATGCTCAACATCACTCATTATCAGAGAAATGTAAATCAAAACCACAATGAGGTACCATTACACGCCAGTCAGGATGGCAGCTATCCAAAAGTCTACAAGCAAAAAATGCTGGTGAGGGTGTGGAGAGAAGGGAGCCCTCTTACAGTGTTGGTGGGAATGCAAACTAGTAGAGCTGCTATGGAGAACAGTGTGGAGATTCCTTAAAAAACTGGAAATAGAACTGCCATATGACCCAGCAATCCCACTCCCGGGCATACACACCGAGGAAACCAGATCTGAAAGAGACACGTGCACCCCAGTGTTCATTGCAGCACTGTTTATAATAGCCAGGACATGGAAGCAACCTAGATGTCCATCAGCAGACGAATGGATAAGGAAGCTGTGGTACATATACACCATGGAATATTACTCAGCCATTAAAAAGAATTCATTTGAATCAGTTCTAATGAGGTGGATGAAACTGGAGCCCATTATACAGAGTGAAGTAAGCCAGAAAGATAAAGACCAATACAGTATACTAACACAAACACATGGAATTTAGAAAGATGGTAACGATAACCCTATATGCAAAACAGAAAAAGAGACAGAGATATACAGAACAGACTTTTGGACTCTGTGGGAGAAGGCAAGGGTGGGATGTTTAGAGAGAACAGCATTGAAACATGTATACTATCAAGAGTGAAACAGATCACCAGCCCAGGCTGGATGCATGATACAAGTGCTCGGGCCTGGTGCACTGGGAAGACCCAGAGGGATCAGGTGGAGAGGGAGCTGGGAGGGGGGATCAGGATGGGGAATGCATGTAAATCCATGGCTGATTCATGTCAATATATGGCAAAAACCACTGCAATATTGTAAAGTAATTAGCCTCCAACTAATAAAAATAAATGGAAAAAAAAAGTGGTATCCATACACTAGAATATTGCTCAGTATTAATAAGAATGATGTAGTGATGCATACTGCAGCAGGGAGGAACTCTGAAAACATGCTAAATAAAGGAAAAGGACAAAGATCCTATATTGTATGACTGTATTTATACAAATATCCAGAGTAAAGTATATTTAGGAGTCTCTAGCAAAATATCATAGATTGGATGGTTTAAGCAGCAGAAATTTATTTTCTTACCATGGAGGCTAGAAATCTAAGATGAGGGTACCAGCATGGTTGGGTTCCAATGGGACTTACAGTTGGCCATTTTCCTAGCTTACAGATGGTCACCTTCTCACCTCACCCTCACATGGCAGAGAGAGCTCTGGAGTCTTTTAATCTTTTTTTAAGGGCACCAATTCTGTCAGATCAAGGGCTTCATTCTTTTGACTTCATTTCACCCTATTCACCTCTGCAAAGGCCCTATTTCAAATATAGTCACATGAGGCGTTAGGGCTCCAACGTATGAAATTGGAGGGAGGGAGACACAATTCAGTCAAGAGCAATAGGTAAATCCATAAAGATGAAAAGACTGGTGGTTGCCAGGATCTGGGTAGAGAAGGGGAAAATCAGGAAACACTGCTTCTCGGATACGGGGTTCTATTTGGGGACGATGAAAATATTTTGGAATTAGAGGTGATGGTTGCAAAATATTGTGAATGTACTAAATGCCCCTGACTTGTTCACTTTAAAATGGTTAATTTTTATGTTATGTGAACTTCACCTCAATGAAAGAAAAAAGCCACAAAAAAGTTTAAACAAAGGGGCAAGTCAGAAAAAGAGGAAAGATGAGTTCAGCCTTCTTCCACAGCAAACTGCCATTTACGTGCCCCAGTCTCCACTAGACAGTCTGCTGTATCCTCTGGCATTCCATGGGCGAGTCACAGGACTGAGTCTCACGTTGATAGGGAGACAAAATATACTCACCCTCTAGTGGGAGGTCCTACAAAGTCATATGGCAAAGGGCATAAACACAAAAAGCAGAATGATAAGTACAGTCAGCCATGAGAGAAAATATGATTGTTCCCTTTGGATCATATGACCACGTCTTGTCTAAACAAATGTGGTTGGAATGGAGATGGGGTCATATTTCATTCTGTAAACGTGGTTGACAATTACCTGATTGGGATAGGGACCAATAAAAGCAGTTACAGTGAGCTGGATAGATACCTTTCAAAGTGTATACTGCAACCTATGGAGAACCAGAAAAGGCTAGCTTAAAATCTCTGTCTGTCTACACACACCCAAGAGCATTTGCACATAAGCCATTACACATGTGCACTTACACACACATATGCACATCCACACATTCTGTCAAGATTTTTATCCTGAAGGTGGGGAAAGATTATCTAGTTTTAGCAAGGGTCTTGTACCCTCTACAAATTGCTACTATTGCCTTTTTAGCTATAGTTATTACATTCCTGGTTTGACAAAAGAGTTGCAGCTACAGCTCTGAGGAGGTGGGAACCTTAATCACTTAGACTTTAATCTATGGAATGTCATGAAATTAAGTATCAGGAGGTCTGATTGATAACAAGGCAAATTGGACACAATTCTTTATTGGATTCCAGTCTCTCGCATCATTTCATAAGGAGCTCATAGGCCAATATTAGATTAGGTTGAGTCCCAGCATCATCTTCTAGTTCCACCTGCTCTCCTTTTCTTTACTTGTGTTTTAAAATTAATTCTCTGAAGAGCCAGATTTTGGTATTTCCAAAGCATACTCACCTGAGACCTGTCCATTGAGGCAGAGGTTAAAACAATGAGCTCTTGGGTCAGACAGATCTGAGATTCAGTCTTGGCCTTGTCTCTTAACAACTCAGTTAAGTGACCTTGGGCAAGTTACCTAAGTCTTACACCTAATGGTGAGTGACAGTTTAGTCACGAAGTCCTGTCTGACTCTTTGTGACCCCTTGGACTGTAGCCCACAGGCTTCTCTGTCTATGGGATTCTCCAGGCAAGAATACTGGAGTGAATTGCACTTCCTTCTCCAGAGGACCTTCCCAACCCAGGGATCAAACCCCATCTCTTGCTTGACGGACAGATTCTTTACCACAGAGCAACCTGGGAAGCCCCTTATACCTAATACATAGATAATAATACCAGCTGTTAGGATTGTGATTGGGAGAGGCAGTATTGTCAAAAGAGAAAGTGATTGGTTGAAAAATGCTAACAGTCCCAAACAAAAGATGCAAGTTCCCATAATGTAGGTAAGTCACAACGTACAACACATAGACGGCTATGTGGAAGGGAGGCACAGCAACACTCCCCACTGGGTGAGCTGGGGGTGGAGGGAACACAGCTTCCCTGGCCTAGGAGAACCCAGAAGGTACCAGAAGGCACACCACTACTCCTAAAACTGCCCAAACAGAGTGGGCACGAATCATCAGGTGTTTTGAGATTCTCCCTTTGATATTCTCGTAAGGGTTTTTATACCTCCCTGGCCCTTTGGAACAGTTATGGAACTCTGATAAAGTGCTGGTCTGTCTGCTTTTACAAATTTCTTAACAGCCTAGTATACTCTGAATATTTGTTGTGAGCGTATGGTGAAGGTCAGTTTGTAGTCATACCACCCCTCTAGAAAGCTCAGTCTTTGGACTGGTTGAAATCACCTCCAGAAATAAAGCACTTAGCTGAGTTGTAAGATGCACCAAGATAGGAATCATGTCTGTTTGATTCATATCTGTGTCCCTAGGAGCTAGCAGTATGATTGGAATGAAGTCAGTATGTAATAAATATTTGTTCCATGGATAAATAATTGAATAAATTGGCTCAATAATTTGTAATCATTATTATTTTGGAGCATAGTCAGTGGATAAGCTTTAATTATTTTCTGTATTCTTTCTGTTTAAACAGCTATAACTATGCACTTCTATGGCATGCTAAGCACTATTTTAGACATTTTGAATAGTCATTTAAGTAAACCTTAGAAAGGAAGTATTCCAATTTTATAGATAAGGAAACTGAGGCTGAGAAAGGGTAAGTAACTTTACTAAGTTTAAGAAAGCAGAATTGGAATTCTCACCCAGGATGCCCCTATGCTTTCTGAATTTCTCTGGCACAGGAGGTGTCACTTTTCAGAAGTTTGATGTATTTTGCCAATACTTGTATTCACTGAACTTCTTCCAGTGCCTCCTGGAAGTTGGTCAGGGAAAGAATTCAACAACTCTTCCCAAGCCTGTCTTTTCAGCATGTGTATATGAAAGACAGAGCACATGAGACCAGAGATCAGTAGGTTCTTAAAGTCCAAGAGCCCAAGGATCCAGCAGAGCCATGGATTTAACAGCCTGGAATCCCATGGCTCTTGGGCTGCACATTAGAATCACCTGGGGAACTTTGACAAGTACCAGCGCCCCGGACCAATTAAACCAAAATCCATGGCGATGTCACCCAGACATCGGAAGCTTTTAAAGTCTCCCAGTTGAGTCCAATATACATTCAAGCCTGGGAAACACGCTGGAAGAGGATGCTACAATCTAACCTGCCAGTCACTCTGATGCAACTGATAGGA